AGTTTTAAAAAGAGTTTTAGGATTTAGGATTTGATGAGGTATAATGGGAGAAATTGGATTTATCACTTTGAATTCTCTCTTTTCTTTCTTCGATTTTCAGGGCATGAAAGACACTAAGAATGAGCTGAATAGAACTTAACTTGCTTAGTGTTGGTCATTCAAGTCAGGGTCCAATAGAAGAGTAGCATTTAATCCTTCATTAAATGCTACTAAACTTGGTAAATTTTCCACTAAACTTGACAAATTTTCCAGAAATTTTGTTAATTTTTCCTTGCATTTCTTGGTGTATTTAATTCTCAAATTCTCATATTACTCTTTCCTTTTCCCCTCTTAATTTTTTGTTAAAAAATTTTAAATTGTGGCACATTTAGGAAGAATAATAATCACTTAATCTTGATGGGGTAATTATTTTAGGTCTTTTTTTTTAGCCTTTTCCAAATAAATAAATAAGTTTTGTTCAGCTACAGTTATAAAGTTGACTTCCCCAAATGCCCCCCCGAGTCCCACACCAGTCCCGACTCACCAACGCTAGTACACGCAAAGCAGCACTTCCGGCCATTCTAATTCTTCCACATATATAATTGGGCCGCAATTGAGCTTGAAATGATTCGCCTTGCTTTCCTGCCATCTTAACAATCCCAAATGTAGGACAACAAGCTATCATCAGTCTCCGTCAATCAAGTACTCAAATTCTTTCTTTTATTCTTTTCTCTTTTGAATTCTAGTAATTGTCGGTCGTGTATTGGATTACGCTCTGAAAATTCTTCCTGATAATGTCTGAGATTACTATGTGCTGTATAATCGTTCTCGAATTTTGTGTCTCCGCTCTTTGAAGCGAGCAGGAAAGAATAGTGGTGGAGGGAAGTTTTACATTGTAGATTATTTATGAATTACTCCATGAAATTGTGAGCGCGAGCGCCTAGTCCTGTTCTTGTTCTTTTTTCTTTTTTTAATTGATTATTATTATTAAGATTTAATTGTCAATGTGGATATTCTGTGTCGATGCTTCATAGTTTGCAAGTTAGGATTTTGGATAATTGACAGTAGTGAGAAAGCAAAAAGCCCTGTGAATGGAAACAGACTTATGCATTCTCATTCTTTTTGGCGGCAGCACAGTTCTGCACGGTCAGAATTGCTCTACTCTGGGAGATAAGAGAGATGAGGAAACTAAGATGGGCTATGGATGGGGCAGGGTTTTGGGATTTGGATGTCTCTACTCCCAAAACACTTGATGGTTTGGCTTGTCCGGTTCCTGGAGACCCAATTCCGTTGGGTATATCCAGAGGAACAAGGCTTTCAAGACCTAACCAAATTGATTTCATTCAACGCTTCATGCATGCACCTCTTATTCCGAGCTATTCCAAACCTCAAGGCCTGAGTCTGCAGCGCGTGCTCACCATCCCTTTTTCTGATAGCTGGTAATTCCCTTGTCTATGTACCCTGTTTTCTACCAAAATTTGAATTTATAGATGTGATTTTAAGTTCTATGGAGTGCTCTTTATCTGAATTGAAAAAATTGTGCGTTCGCCTTGTCATGTTCTATTTTTTTCATGAACATTTTGTTGTCCACATGAATCTTCTGTGTTCATGCTTCGTAGTTCGGGAGTAGATATTTATATATATATATATATATATATATATATATATATAAAGACAGTAATGGTAAGGCGAAAGACCCTGGGTATGGGAGTAGGCTTGAGAATTCTTCCAAAGATACTTTAACCTGTGAGTATTTTGTGAACGGCGTTATTGGACTAAGATAAACCTGGATAATGAAATCAGTAGAGGCTTGCATTAATTTATGTAATGCTGTGAATATTTTTTCCTGTGTATTGCTTAACTATCAACTGATGGTCTGTGAAAAATCCTCATGGAATATATATATATATATATATATTGATATTTAAGCCTGCTAGTTTTGCAGGTTTGTAACTCTTCTAGGGCAGTTCAATGTGCAGAGATTTGTCGCCTCTGTCAAAAGCAGTGGAGAATCACATGGGTCTGTATCGTCGTGGTTGAAATCCCTTCAGAAACACCTACAGGAGAAATCCTTATATGCCCTAAATTTGTGCACAGATTTCCTTTTAACGCCTGATGACACTTTGCTTGTTGGATTAGATGCTTATGGTTATACCAATAAACGGAGAATCAAGACAGTTCTTCATCACAAGGTGATTGTTAACATGAAATCCTTATACTATGGGTTCTGTTCTTGATTTTCTTGTCAGATTAATTGTGCCTTTCCATTCTTTAGTATTATGAGCTTTCCTTGGATCATTGAAGAGAATAATAGTGTGCTTAGTATGATTCATTCCATTGGGGTCGGGAACAAATTTTTCATGTTCTGTTGACCATGATTTTTTATTGAACAATACACTTAACATATTGTAGACTACATTTGCTATTGCTTTTGGTTTTTGTATTTCTTCTTGTTTTGTGATTAAATTTTCTTGCGAATTGAGCTATCTAAGGGGTTTTTATTCTTATCGATGATTTCATTGGTTTGTGGTTGTAGTTTGCACATCATGACCTGATGGTAGAGGCAGTTTGGCCTGGTCTTTTTGTTGATAAGACTGGTAATTACTGGGATGTCCCGTTTTCAATGGCAATTGATCTTGCTTCTTTAGCCACCAGTGACTCTGCTGCGAGTTATCATTTGTCTTTGCACCGAAATATCGGGACACCTGAGCAGTTTGAAAATAATCAAAATCAAAGTAGTGGGGCCACCTCCTACTCTACTTCCAGGATTGGCCATCAAGAGTGCCTTTTCTTACAAGAAGAAGGTTGACATTTGGAGAAGCACAGCTCGAATGTTGAAATTGGTGCAGCCATATGACTTTTTTCTTTCAAACCCTCATGTATCTGCCACAGGAATTATTGGTAAGTTGTTTTATTTCGCATGAAATTTCCATAGGTACATTCCTAGCCTAAAAGGTGACGGCTGCTGTGCTTTGGTCGCACAACCTTTTGCTCAGTGAATAAGTGCGGAAACTATTATATATTATCTTTAATAATCAGAACATTAACTCTTCTACTATTAGAGGATTAAGGATTTAAACTGAGTAATTGAGATGGGTTCTGCTGTCTGAAATAGGACTAAAGTCACGATGGCAAGGGGTGCTGTCTCGCATGGATGAATATAAAGCCATAAATGTTATGGCATTAAGCTTATTGGTTATTTCAATTCCTTGTTATCAGGTGTGGCTGCGACCACCTCTGTGGGAGAGAATTCAGTAAGAGCGCTAGTGGAAGATGATAGACAAGGTTCCAGAGGATTTTATCTCGAGGCTTATGGAATGAAGGCCTCCTGTCTGGCAGATATATTTGCATCCGTTTCGTTTGCGGCTCAATATGGAAACTTCCAAAGGCTTTTTCTAGACCTTTCCAGATTTCAGGCCCGGCTGGACTTCCCTTCTGGTTTGAAATTTCTTTCAGCTGCAACAAGTGTTACACAAGATCTTCTCAATTCTCAGAGGCCCACCTTGGAAGCTGTTCAGGCAATTTGTCCAGATGCTACCTTTTCTCTTCAGCAGCAGGTACCTGCATTTCTTTCAATTATGAGACTCCTATATGCATAAGTTTTGCATGATGGCGGAACCTTATTAGGAATTGACAGAATTAGCCCTGAAGATACCTTGTTGGAGAAACTTGTTCATCTCTTTATGATTTCTGATTGATTGCTCGAAAGCAAAAGTTTCTAGTGGCAATAACATATATTCTTAACAAATATTTTTATTTTAGGGCCCACCATTTGGTGCACTGGAAAAATAATTTCAAAGATGAAAAGTAATTTTTATGTCCCAACCAAGCAGCACATTACTGTCTTGTCCCTCTCGCGTATCCTTTTCTTAGTTTTGCTGTGAACTTGCTTAACGTTACAATTTCTCTTATGCGTGGATCTAAACTAGTAAGCACGGCACTCAAATTGATACAGGACACAATTAAAAGTTGAACACGTGAAACGATTAACTATGTAGTGTTTAAAAGGCTTCCCCCCTCTACTAAATGAAAATATACAATACTTTACGTAAAATTTAAAATATCATGCTGTGAATATGTATCAGACACAATACCATGATGTTCTACAGATTTTTAAAGCTGCTTTTGATAACAAAAAAATGGTGTATCGTGCAGATTGTTGGTCCTCTCAGTTTCAGAGTTGATTCAGGAGTTACGGTTGATCTGAAGAACCCAAAATGTCCTATACAAGCGCAGGAACCCATACTTGCTTTTGAATATGCATTGCAAGTCCTTGGTTCTGCAAAAGCAGTAGCTTGGTATTCCCCTTATCGCCAAGAGTTTATGGCAGAACTTCGTTTCTTTGAGACATAAGCCATAGGCAATCTTTTGAGTTAGAAATATGTATGTTCCGCGATTTTAAAAAATGGTTTGGTCATGGAAGTAATTTATTGAGTCATCCCATTAAAATCGTTCCTGCCTCATGGTTCCTTTAACCTGCATTTAGGAGTGGAGGAAGTGTGGAGTGTTTTTTATTTTCGTATGTTTCATACTCAACTTTTTATGAATATATTATTTACATTCTCACAAAATTAAAAATCAAAATGCCTTCATCCAACAGGCACTTTAGAAATACTCCCTTTGATTCAAAATATAAACTAAATTTTATCCATTTACGTTTATCAAGAAACTAGTTAAAAGCACTTTAAAATAATAAATGTGTAAGGCACGTAATTTTTTTCCCCAAAATATGTCCTTATTAATGAAGAAAATAAGTAAAAAATACAATAAATGAATCAAAGAAAAAGGAAAATATATGAGGACAAAACTGAAAAAAAAAAAAAACTCATTAAACATTAGATAAAAGTGAATGTTATCTTATAAAATATAAAATAAAAAAAATTAAGTCTCACTAACAAAATTTAGCTTATATTTTGAACCAGAAGGAATAATTTCAACTTCCACAAACAAGCCCGGTTCCTTCTAACAAGTCAAAGTAATTCCTCTTGCATATAAGTACCAAATACCAATGCAAATCAAGGTTAAAAGTAAATGATTAAATTTATACTCATTGAATTAAACAAATATGGAACTTCACTCGAAATTATATCTTGGAAACAAACCCAGAAGTCAAATTCCTATTCCAGGCCCCAGGCACAATCAAATATACGTCAAAACGTAGTTCCTACAAATGGGATCTTCCTTTTGTTCCTAATCAAGAAACATCAATATTGACACAGATACGACCACGAGATAAATTGTGTGCATCATATCTGCAAATTCAATGGGGCACCGTTTTTGAAGTCTCATCATTTCATAGGCTGCTGAATATTGTTAATAGAACGGAAGCTTACATTTTGTAACACTATGATGCCTACCAAAACTGCCAGCAGGGCGACCTGGTGGAATTAATAAGTGACTTTCATTGTAGTTGACAGATACAAGGCAAAGGCCATGAGGTGGAGTAGACAATGCGTACTTTGCCAGCTCCTTGCGGTCTCGAGATTCCAAAATCATGGGGACAATGTCAGGAGGAATTGCTTCTTTGCCGATTTGAAGCAACAGAGCCACCTACATGGTAAACACATGGACACAATTTCCAGCATTTAATTGGAATCATTAGAATAAATTTAAAATGCAGAATAATCCTTCACATGGATTAGGCTTAAGTAAACTCTTTACCATGTTTCGTACTTGTCTGTATAAGAAACCTGAGCCTTCAACTTCTAGCCGCAAAAGAGCTCCCTACATATAAAGTAACCAGCTATATAAGAATTCTAGCAAAAATAAGATAAAATCAGAGTAACTATAGTGCAAAACACTAAATAAGTAAATTACAGTTTACACTACAATGATTTGTTCCATTACCACTAACCATCTAGTGGTAATTTTTGTCTCAATTTTAAAAGAAATAGTAATGTAAATTTTAGCTATTAGGAAGAATAATAGTTAGGTCTCAAAACATCAATTTAATGACAGACTCCCAGACAAAATTTTCTTTCTGGAAAGTGAACTGCAAGTATCGATTCAGATTGTTGTAAATTTTGGAGTCTCAATTGCAAATTAGGTATTTGAGTTTTGAGTGAGATTTCCACTTGCAATTATCTAAATCAATATTTACAAATCATTTTTCAGAAAATTTTATCAGGATTAACTGTCATCAAATTAATATTTCAGGACTTAACTGTCATTATCCCTAGTTATTACTGGGATTAAACTATCATTTCAGAACTGAAATAATATCTAAAAGTGCAGAAACCTTGCACTAGAGATCGACTATTACCATATCTACCACATCAAATCTGAATATTTCCTTCACTGGATCTGGAACCCGATCATTGTGGGATACATTGGCAAAGGCAGAGTAGTCATGCTTCCCAATAAAATATTTCGCAGCTTCTCTCATGACAGCGCTATTGAGTTTATAGGCACTATGGTAAGCAAAGTGCCGTTGAAATGGGTCCATGATGGTATCATTGTATATCTTGTAATGGTAAACCTTACTTATTGCAGAGAATCGAGCGTGGAATTCAGGCAATGCTGGGCTAATCTCCCTAACTCGGATATCAGAAGGAAGAAGGCCATTCAGAGCTGCGTGAATCTCTTCCAAGCTGTCATAGTTGAATGGTGTGGTGAAGTGTGCAACCTGCAGCAACGTTAAGCTTGTAATTTATGGAGGCCATAGATTTGGTCCTTAAATTTAAGACCCGAATATATTTTCAGTTTTCTAGCCTAGGCCTCAATGGAATGCGAGTGAAGTTTGTTATTTTCCTCTTTTAATGTTGTTTAACATTTCAGACCAGTAGGAAATGATGTTTAACATTTTCGCTAGAGGCTTTCATGTTTAGAAGAGAACTATTTTATGAAAATCTTGTCCGGAAAAACTATAATTCCTGCCATTTAATTTTGATTAACCTGAAGAAATGTTTGATATCTTAATAATCTTTAGGTTCATGTAGCTTTAATAATGTTTAAGATGAAATAGAAAAGTGAAATCAGACTTGGGCTTGGACAGACTATTTTGCTTTTTGGGCACTCTCTCTTCAAAACCCTAGCCTGAACAGAGTCAAGTTCAATCTAGTCTGTTTCAAACTACACGAGAGAAATAAAGATGGACCTGACCCCATGCATGAACTCCTCTATCCGTCCTGCCAGAACCAACCAAGCAGAGATCCTTTCTATCTAGCTTGGTAACTCGAGTTAAAGCGTTTTCCACAGCGCATTGTATGGTTGGGGGGGACAGCTGATATTGCCAGCCTGAAATATAATCAGTCTTGAAGATAATTAGGGTTCAAAACTAAAGTAAATAGGTACAACAATTCATAGACCAAATCGCTGGTTTATTATTTAGTTTTCAGCAAGGCAATGGAGTTTAGAACCAGCTAACCGGAAAGAAAGATACAGAAAAGATCGCAAAGGTTGCAAAGGCCTTCACAAAAGAGAAACCAAATGCTCCAAACCCAGAAACTGGGAGGGAAAGCAGACCTGCATAATTGGTTCCATCGTAGGCCAAAACCAAGCGCCATTTATACCCGGCTTGAGTGGGATTTAAAAAATTGTTAGACTCCTCCAGAGGGTATCGTCCATTGCCATCGAGATTCTATAAAATTACCCAGAAGAAACACTCATTTCCGTGAAGATCAAACAAAAAACCCGGAAATCTACAAACTTTTTTGTTGCCCTCGAACAGAAATCTACAATTAAAGTGCTCCATAAGCATTAAAAAAATCATTGAAGTAACCTATAACTATAAGCAATCATTAGAACAATAATCAGACGAAGAAATTAAAGTTTTTTTTTTTTTTTTGGGTTGGGGGGCGAAGAGAAGAGAGAGACGAATACCGAGCTTCCAATGGAGGTAGAAAGACGAGGAGTCAGAGAAGGAGCAAGCAGGCCTGCTACTGCGACATTCATCACTCCCAGAAATTCAAAAGGCGCTCGGCGCATGGGAAGTGGCAGCAAGCAGCGGCATCACCAGAATTCCTCCCGTCTGCTGTTATCCCCCGCTTTTATTTTACACAGGAGTCTCACGTATGAATATTTAAAAAAATAAAATATGGTTACTAATTTGAAGGTTAAAAAATTATTTAAATTAATTATGTATAGTGCATAAATATTGTTTTTTCTGAAATAGTTTTATTAATCATATATATTTGAATTAATCATTAATAGTAGCTCCTTAACACATAATTATTATAGAGATTACTCAAAGACAAAATAGATAAATATTGGAGACAAAATGGATTGTGTTCTTATATTTAAAATCAAATTAAATATCTAACTAATTCTTATATTAAATATTCAAAGCAGTATCATTTCTTCTTCTTCCCAAAATAATTTAAAATGTTTGAAATTTTGATTTTAATGCACTCATGGAGTTCTATTTATAAAACACAACTACATAAGACACAATGTTTCACTAAAATTGAGAAAAGTATTAAATCTTATTACTTCTATCTTCAAGTTTAACAACATTTTAATTTTACTCTTAATCTTAATTACTATATACTCTATATTTCAGTGGCTTTTTCCTATAAATAATTAATAAATGACAAAATCATATATGATGTAAAAAATTTAATAATATAACTGATAAATAAAAATCAAAAAGCAGTCCCTCCCTCCCTTATGAAAAACATTAGATATAATTTTGTCTTTTATTATTAATTACTTAGATTATAGGAAAATAATTATGCCATGTTTCTTGTATGCATTAAGTTCTCTAATCATACATGACATGTGTTTTAATTTTTTTTAGGTGGATTTATAATTAAGTGCTATTAAATGTTAATATTTTAAAAATAATATACATTGTCATATGTAATTGAAAAATTTGATATAATAGGTATAAGGAATTTTACCTAAGTATTTTTCTAGATTATATGTTAGAATTTGAGGTTTGGTATTATTAGATTATATTTAAGTGATTAAGTAATGTTAGATTCAACTGAGAATATCTCTCATAAATATTTTTAAAATTCATACAAATTCAGATTCAAAATCTTGTGTTTAACAAGTCATAATTTTATTTATGATTTCTTAAAATTTAGTTATGTTTTAAAATTTGTGATATTCTTTATAATTGTTATGGTTTTTTAAGTGTTCATTGATTATTGATGCTTCTCAATTTAAGTAAATAAAATAAAGTAAAATAATTCAAAAACTACCGACACTCAACTTGAAAAAACAATAGATTTGAATTCTATAAAATATATACATATATATATTATTGATAATTTGATGATAAAAGAATTGTCCAACCAAATAATGATAAAGGGAATCCCTACATAGATATATGTTATAAGATTATATTTGGATTAGACAGATATATTATATTAAACGACCGAAGCAACGGATACAGAAGTCCCATTTGGAAAACTACTAATATGGACTAATTTGAAACAAAATCCGATAGCGGCAATTGTTACAGTTGGAGTTGGAGCCAGTTGGCGCTTTAAAACTAACGCTCGCTCGGCGCTAAATCGATCAGAGAGTCAGAGATTTGAGGGATGGAGGATCACCATGATTCTGAACCTACGGATTTTGGTGGCGCCGAGAGACCAGTTCGTGTTTACGCCGATGGAATTTACGATTTTTTTCACTTCGGTCATGCCCGTTCCCTCGAGCAAGCCAAGAAACTGTAATTTTCTCTCTTCCTTTCCTTTATGCCTTTTTCGGAAAAGCTTGTAGTTTGAATTCGAAGTTCGACGACATGATTTGCTGTTTTGATTATTCCCTCCGTCCATGACTCTGCTAAATTTAATTTTCACTGACCCTCTGTTTTAGTTGGAAGCAGGTTTTCACTCTAAACTATGATCCCCCTCTAGTCCCTAGGATAAGTCGTGATTTTTTTTTCTCCTGCTGATTTAGTCTACATTGTTTTGCCGTTTTCATTCGGTTGTATTTTTCTTTTGATCCATGAAGAATTTGTTTCGAGAGAAGAAAGAACAAATTACTCAAGGACAATGACCAGGAAATACGAATTAAAAACTCAACACATACCCTAAAGTAAAAAATTTTGTTTTAGAAGAACTTTAACATTTTCTGAATTATATATATATATATTAGAAGTAGTGTGTCCTTGTAGAAGGCCTTGGGCAGAGCGCCAAGGAGAAGCCATATATATGGCTCTATCACTTAACAAATTTAAAGGCCATTACTCTCTTTTATAAAACAGATATTGTTTGAGCAATCATGTAATGCATATCCATTTCCTTTTTCCTTAATTTAAGGTTTCCAAACACTTATCTCCTTGTTGGATGCTGCAATGATGAGGTCACTAACAAATATAAAGGCAAAACTGTTATGACCGAGAAAGAACGCTATGAGTCTCTTCGACATTGCAGGTTGGTTTATTCTTCGAATTTAGTTATGATTCATTTAACACTAATACCTTACTTATACCGACACTCCCTATTTATGTAATGCGCTACTATTAGAAATTTAGAATAAAACCATTTCTGATCTCTGAGTTCTACTGCTGCACCTCATGAAATATGGTCAATTGGAGTTCAGTTTTTACATTTTTACACCGTAAAAACAGTTTTCTTGGTGGTATAAAAGATCAAAAATTTTCTTTGCTTCTATTACCACCAAAAATTTATCTAGCGATTGAATTCTTTTAAATAAAAGTAGAAAACTCTGGTCCATCTGTTTTACTCGTCTGGGAGAACACTATATTGGACTTTTCCCTTATCAGATTTACTTGACTGCTTTTCACATGCAAGTGTTGCTTGAACCTGCTGCATTGTACTCGATGCAGGTGGGTTGACGAAGTTATTCCTGATGCGCCTTGGATAATCACACAGGAATTCCTAGACAAGCATCAAATCGACTATGTGGCACATGATTCTCTTCCGTAAGTATAATCAACCCCGAGCTAACTGCTTTCATTTGTAAACTTATCATGATTCAAGGGGACTTATGGATGAAAAATTATCAACAGTGGAGCAGTACACGTTTAAAGTTGATGGGCGGGGAACCTTCTTGCAGCAGCTTTATCGAAAGCTTAGGGTTTTCAAATACATTTTAATTTTGTCAACTTTGGCACTGGAACTAGATTGTTTTTGTAATTTAATGGTTTTCGAAGTATTGCTCTTTTAAGTAGAAAAAAGGGATGCTGGATTTTATTTTCCTGAAAGAAAAGATGGAATTCATGTAAGCAAAATTTACCCAAAAAAAAAAAAAAAGGTTCAAGATTCATGTCAGATGATTGTTGAGGATTGTTGGGTGCCATGAAAAAATGGATGGTCTATGGTTTGCAAAGGATGAAAAAGAGAGATTTTTTGCACTTAGTTCATCAGCTGTGGACTATTTGATGTTACTTGGCATTTGAACCCCACGATCCTATCGGTTAAGAACGACAAGTTTCTAAAAAGTGTATTAAACTTCCATTTTATATGTTGTTTGGTGAGGCCTTTTTCTGTGTGGCGGTTTTCTCCTTGCATTTTAAATCTTAACGGTATTTTGTACTGTACCATTATCTTCAAGTTCTCACTCATTCTTCAATGCGTTAATTTTCCTTTTTCCCATTCTATTACCTTAGTTATGCTGATGCAAGTGGAGCTGGAAAGGATGTCTATGAATTTGTAAGTTTTAGTTAAAACTGAATCACATGCCTATCTAGGAATTTGTTTAGCTTTGATCGTTTCATTGAGCTAGTACTGCTCATGTAGCAGCTGTATAAATTTCTCAAACCTTGTGACTGACCCTGGTTATCTTTTATGTATTTATTCCTTGTAATACATAGGTTAAGTCAGTTGGAAAATTTAAGGAAACAAAGCGAACTGAGGGGATTTCTACTTCGGATATTATCATGAGAATTATCAAAGATTACAACCAGTACATCATTCGCAATTTGGACCGTGGTTATTCAAGAAGGGATCTAGGTGTCAGCTATGTGAAGGTCTGTCCTTCATTGGAACCTATTTCTCGCTGATGTTATTCTGTTTGTTATTTGTCAGTTGGTTAATTAATGCCTTCATTGTAAGATGACAATTTTGTGTTACTTTATCCACTGCCTGCAGGAGAAGAGACTTAGAATGAACATGGGACTTAAAAGGCTGCGCGAGAAAGTGAAGAGACAGCAAGAGAAAGTGGGAGAGAAGGTAATTTTGTTGATTTTTCTCTGTCTTCGCGTCATTAGCCAATGTGTGCAAAACAGTTAGACAAAGGAACCATCAAACTGGCCACAATACGTCCATACTGCTTCAGTTAATCCTTAAAACCAGCCAACAATTGGTTGAAAATTGCTTAGACCAGTTAACAACTGGAATAATCTGGGCAGGTCAACAGACCAACCAGTTTTTAGTGTTAAAACTACTAAACAGTTATGAACATGGGCCATTTGACTCAATCCAACAAAGCAAGCTGTGACATTGGTTTCCTTGGCTATTTGTAACAAGGGATTCTGCTCCTACCAAGAACAGACCTGTGGAGTTGAAGTATCTTGAGATCATGAAGACTGGGTCAAGCGTAGCCCAAAGTTGTTGACCCAATATGATGCATAAAAGTTTTGACCTTTACTGTATTGCAGGACAGATAATTTTATTAGGCATAACTTAATACTTGACTGCTTGGAAATTCTGAATTTTTTATGCCACAATGTCCATGTCCTTAAGTTGTTTAATGCATGTGCAGAGTTTATAACATCTTTTTCCTGCTGCAACATAAGATAGAATTTTATTTCTTTCTTAATTGTAGATACAAACGGTAGCAAAAACTGCTGGAATGCACCGTGATGAATGGATTGAAAATGCTGATCGACTGATTGCCGGATTTCTGGAAATGTTTGAAGAGGGTTGCCACAAGATGGTTGACTCTTTCTCCTATCTCTTTATAAGGCTACTTACTGTGTAAAATAACTCGTTTTTTTGTATGATTTCTTCATTACTACTTAGATAATTCCTTTTTATGAAATCTCATTTTATTGTCTTGCCTATAAACTAGGGAACTGCAATCAGAGACCGATTTCAAATACGCTTAAAGAGCCAGCATCGAAATTATCTTTTATATGAAGATGAGGATGAAGACGAAGATGATGATGATGAAAAATTGTATGACGAGGATGAATCTGAAGCATGCTACAGTTAGAAAAGTGACAAACAGCTTTCCAGATCGCAAGGAAATGGGATAGTTTCAGCCTGCCTTTCTGTATTAAGGATTACCAGAAAGGTGCTAGTTAAGTCCTACAAGTTAGCTGGTTTGGACTGTAAGGTCCTCTCGTACATAATTTGGTGTATCTATTTTATAGTCAAAATTTCTAGGCAATCAAAATTTGCTATTTAGCATTTTTTCAAGCTAATCAAATTATTCAAATTTCAAAGTTATTGAGGCGGATGTATATACACAAGGTTTGGGTTAGAATCTCTTGTTGAAGTGTGGATGTAATTTAGTAATTTGAAATAGGTCTAAATTGACTGTATCCTTCTAGTAGCAACGTTAATTGCTTGAATATTTGGTTTCTTTGATAGCTGGAAGATACGAGAGCCTGAAGTTTTGATGATTTAACAAGTAAATCATTGAATTAATATATCATTGATATACCAATATAAAATTCATAACAAATCATTCTAGTTATAAATCATAAATAATACTAGTACTCCTTCAATATTTAATATATGACCTAATTAATTAATTTAAGTAGATTAATGATATTAGTTAAATTAGCTAATATGATATATTTTTCTAAATTATCCTAATCATTTTTCTTAATCTTCTTCATCTTTTACTTGATTATTGTCGAAAAAATATTAATAGAGTTAATTTGAGAAAAAAATTATAGGATCACTATCAATTTTTAAATTAAGTCATATATTAAGCATAGGAGGAGTATATAGTTGATACTTAAGTTTTGGAAAAAGCCAAATTCCATCAACTTATAAGGGGGTGTTTGGATATCTCCAAAAATACTTTTTAAAGGCACTTTTTCATAAATCAAGACAAATTCTCTCACATATTTACTTTGTATATCATAAAATCACTTTTAAAACTATGGTTTGGTTTTCATCCAAATACCCTTTTAGCCTATGTCTTGTGTATATATACATATAGACATTCATAAGTTCTCTATGTCTCGTTTTGCACAGCTCTGCTTTACTGTCTCTTCCTTATGCTACAAAACATGGTGCTACAAATCAAACATGGGGAATGACTAATGAGCCTTTGTTAAGGGTCGAACTTATTTCTAAATTCTTCGTCATGGTTCCTCCACATAAATATAAAGTAAGCCTAGCTTGTGTTCATCTGACAATGTAAGGATAAAAAAAAATTTTAAAAATAACTATGCACTCTATTATTTTGCTAAAAACTATTATTTTAGGAAAAAGGGGGGGTCAAAAAACTAATGATGAGGGATTTTTCTCCCTCAAAAAATTTAATATGCTGTAAACATCCTTATCCTTTTATTTAGGTAAGCAGACATCCTTATCCTGAAGTAATGGTAAATTAGCAATCCTTGAAGAGATAATGGGATTGTGGATTAGCTTCATCACCAGCTTTTTAAGATGCCTATGAGTCTGAGTGATCTTATCTGTTGGTTCAACAATATTTAGGCAAGCAAATTAAACGAATTACAGGTAGAGAGGTTGTTGTGTGTGATAAAAGACATCAAATACCCTAATCCACACAAAGTGATGATGGGACAAATGTTGCTCATCACTCACTTGGATATGTCGGAGAATATGCATTTTGAATTGGACGATATATGCTTTGTTTATTATCCAATCTTCCTATCTTCCTCTTCTCTTGTCTCAACTTGCTTTATAAAGATGCACCTCGTATTATACATCTCTTACTATAATGTCGTCTTTTGATATATATATATTATATATATATAGAGAGAGAGAGAGAGAGAGAGAGAGAGAATCATTTGCTTAATGTATCATGATTTGGGGTGAGTTTTTATCGACTTTAGAAAAAACAATAGTCAATTCTTATATAGACTAACATTCTAAGTTGATCAATAATCCTCTTTGTTTATTTTGTGCGATGTAAGAATTATATATTTGACATAATATTGTCGGATATCAGACACCATATTTGGTGGCCAAAAAAAACCAGACACTAGATTTGAAAAAAAAATGTATTTTTTATGTTTCTTTTTATATAAGTATATTAAGGAAGTCAAATAAATTAATTAATTATAATAAATAGGACATAATCTTTTTAAAATATTTCTGTAATCCTGTATAGTATTATATTATACAGTAATTTATAACTCAGGTAAATGAATTTGGAAAAAAAAAGTGTAAGAAATAAAGTAAATTGACATTATGTATTTAGAACTAAATTTTATTTTTAATTAACTCTTATATTGGGACCAGAAGAGTATATTTAATTTTATTTTAAAGATTTTTTTTGGGCCTGAATTTTATTTTTACCAGCAATTAACGCACGCCGCTTGTCAGAAGGTTTTGGTGACACTGACGTGGAAAAAATATATATTATTGTGTGATGTTTTATCTTGTTTTTTATGCTAATCATGCCTTTAATTTTTCCACAATGCAAACAGTATACTACCTCCGGTCTTAATTATAAAAACCAGTTGGCTAATTTGAGGAAATTAAAAAAAAGAGTTAAGTTATTATTTGTCATAAATAAGTGTGTCTTTCCTAAAAATATCATTGCTAATCAAATGTATTAGCTATAACTACTATTGTTAGAAGGACTATCTTGAAAAAAATACACAAATATTAGAGACAAAATAGATTAGGGTCTTATATTTAGGACCAAAATAAAAATCAAATGAGGTCCTATATTAAAAACCGGAAGTAGTATATCATTAGAATCTAAATCAAAATACGTTATATTTGAGGAGGTCACCTCGTTGTCTTCAATTTTGGTCTATGGACTGGTAGATCAACATTTATTACTTACTACAAAAGTATAATTATTACTACTTCCAATCCTATTTATAATACTTTATTTGTAGTTTATAAACCTCATCTATAGTTTACAAATGAGATCTTATAATTAGGACCAAACGTAGTAATCAAAATGTGTTATTTTTATTTAATCACGTTTATCTCAAACACCACCTATATTGAATATTGATTTAACTTGTCAAAATATTTACTGTGAATTATTGTTTTAACTTTATGTAGAAGCAATAACGTTACTGTCGCCACAAACATAGCGTTGACTCTATGTTTATTGTTTCAAGCTCTTAATTCCAAAATTACAAATGGTATGTTTAGATTAGTGCACGGCTAATTGAAATCAAAATTTGCGGGATATAAAATTGGTTAGATAATTATCTCTACATGTAAATTACTCTCTTACTTATTAACCATATCTATGATTATAACTTAGGTTAGATCATAAGCAACTTGATGGAAACTTTAGTTTTACAAGGCTAATACATACAAACTAATGAATTAAGTCATAGACTGGCACAATTAATTAATTTATAGGATAATCCTCCTCTATTCATTATTATTACAAGACATTTTTAACTATGTCAAATCTATATTATAAAAAATCTATATTATTACCTCCGATCCTTAACATAAGAACTTGTTTCGCTTTTATTTTGGTCATAAATATAAAACCCCAGTCCACTTTGTCTCTTATTTTTTCCTAATATAGTCATTATAGCAATAGTCGTTCTGACTAATATACTTAATTAGCGATGACATTTTAGGAAGGTAACATATATTTATTACAAAAAACGAACTCAACTAATTTTTTTAATGTACTTAAATTAGTATACTGGCTCTTATATTAAAGACAAGAAATAGTATTAAAAGCTTCTAACTCACATGACACCGAACATATCTTCTTATAAAAAGGTTATGTATTCTATATGCTAAAGTAACAAAATGGGGGTGGATTCCCTCTTTTATAGTGGAAGAGGATTTTATTTGTTAAAATAAAAAAAGCAAGAAATTAAAATGTCTGTATTAGCCCAAATCCCAACTTCTTTCCAAATTCAACCATTTTCTAAAATTACAGTTTAGCTTTAGCTTCTTAATGTCTAATCTTAATCATTAGTTAGTTGCAAGTAATTTTGATAGCGTGATTGGCATTTTAAGTTAAAAACATTAGCATTTTAAGTTAAGTCAAAACATTAGTTATATTTAAATTCTCTAAAGTATCTTAAAATTGAAAAATATTTTAAAAAGAAAATACTTGTCAACAAAAAAGAGAAGGAGCACCTATTAAAAAAAAGAGAGAGAGATTGATTGATCGATCGATCGATCGATCACATAAGTCAAACTTGGGTCCAACTTTAAGTTTCACTTGGTAGGCATGTTCACAGGCATATCTCGCCAAGATCTTTAAAAGCAAAAACACTTGCGATTTAGATTTCCTACAACTTCTTTGAAGTTAGATCCGATTCAAACCACCAAGATAACATAATTCAAAGTTGCGAGTATTATTATGTTACTCAAACACACATAATGAAGAACTAACACTAGTTAAACAAGATTAAGGCAAGCAAAAATTCCCTCCACAGGAATCAAAACATGGATAGGTAGCTACCTACTGTGTACTAAGATCACTATCAAACCATCCATAATTCAAAAATTGAAACAGACATATCTATGGTATCATAAGATGCAGGGTGTTAAGTGAATCACTCGAGGATTTCAGAAAATGGCGGCAAGTTGGGCAAGATGAATGAGAAAGCAACCACTTATCGATACAGGCCACGTGAAATGTGTGACTGCACTTTGGGAGGAATCTAATTCTATCTCCGTCGCAGAAATCCGCCAAGCAAATCGCACAATTAGAAGCAGAAGTTGCAGTAGAAGACGAAGAGGTAGGGTTGGCGTAATAAGTGGAAGTCGGGAGAGCCACCATGTCTTTCTTCTTGAGGCCGGAATTGATTCGGCGGGAGGCGATCCACTGGAGCGGTTCAGTGACGGCGCATTGGAAGACGCAGTGGAGCATGGTGTTGAGGCCGAGGGCGCAGAGGAAGGCGCAGACAATGGCGGCGATGAGGAGAGTGAGATTGAAGGCGGAGGAGGGATGGTGGAGGGTGGTGGTGGTGGTGGTGGTCATGGAGGAGGGAGAAGGAGAAGGAGAAGGAGAATCGGCCATGAGGGGGACGAGGGAAGCAGGGGAAGCAGGGAGGGAAGGTAGATAAAGAAAGAGGAGGCCATGGAGAAGACGACACATGGGGTTGGATGATCGGAGCCAAAGCAAAAACACTAACTGCAGGAGATGGCCAATCAGAAAATGATTTGATGGAAGAAAGTTGATGTAGCTGATTCATCACGTGAACCGTATGTGTATGGGTGTCCAACTGAGGGGTATCCCCGCATTATACTTGTTAATTGGTTGGTTGAGATACTAATTACAGGAATTAGTCTCAAATCTCTCCATAAAGAAATTAATACAGGGTCAAATACTAATTAGCGTATTTATTGAAAGGGTTTTCAATGTTAATATTTTTGAGAGATTAATCACAAATTCAAAATGATTTGAGAAAATGATGAGTTATTTTAAAAAAAAAAAGTGTTATACTCTCAATCTTTTACACTTGAAAAAGAAAACTAAAAAAAAAAAAAAAAAGCCTAGTTTCATTGAATCACAATGCTGCAACAAAAAATACAAAATTTTAGAACTTAAGAATAGGGGAGGCAACATATCAAAATTTTAATGGTAAGTAGTCAAAATTCTAAAGGTATAGAAACAAAATATTAAAACTCATAATAAATTTAAGTTTCGATTTATTCTTTTTTTTTTTTTTGCTTTTTGCCAAATGTACCTTTGATTCTAAATATAAAAATTAAATCATTATTTTGTAGAAATTAAAAAATTAAAAAAATTAGTTTAGTTAATCATTTATTTAAAAAAGTACTAATGTTAATCATTTCATTTGTATTAGATATTACTCATTTGATGAAAACCTGCTTAATATGTGTAATTAATAGGTAAAATTTGAAAAACAAAATTATAAATTTTAAAGATAAACACATTAAGATTTTATAGTTATAACTAAAACAATTTCTTTTGTTAACCCTCACATTTAGAATTAAAGAGAGTAATTTTTTTTTAAAAAAAAGTGCATTTGCTTCCTATTTTAACTAGTCACCATCTAACTAATCATCATCACTGGTTAAGACTTCACATCCTTTTGGTCAAAAGTCTTATAGCCTAGCGCTTTTAATACTCCCTCATAAATAGAAAGTTACGGGTTCTATTCTGCTTATAATTATAATTTCATATCGTGAGTACCTACCCTTTTAATTAAAAAAAAAATTCTCACACCCTTTCAATAATTAAATAAACATATTTTTTTCTTATTAAGCTCAAATTAAATTAGTTGAGTTTGACTAATTTTAAGAAATGGTTATTATCTCCCAAAAATAAATAAATAAAGATGGTCTTTTGCCAAGTTTCAAACTCTCATGCTATTTAAAGATTTATTTTATCAATGAAGGCGCCAAAAGCAAAGAGCATCAATATTATTTTTTTAAGTCCGGTAAAAGGATTGAGACTACCTATATTTGCTAGTCTCAATTCTTTTTTATTTATTTCACTTAAATAGTTAAATTAACTTCTTTCTTTTTTAAAAAAAAAAAAAAACTAAACTACTGAGCTTGCAATCGAAGTCTTCAAGTGGAAGTATAGTTGCGGAGGACAATTTTGATACGGATAAACATCCAAATATAAAACTAGTCTGCGTATATATTTGGATTATGTTAAGTCTATCCTAAGGATGAGCACTCCCAGTAATCTATAAGGATAAACGTCCAAATTATGAATGTTTATCCTTTATGATAAACTAAATTGATATTTGTAAAATTAGAGAATTATATATATATAATCACAAGTTATTTATCAGTAATCAAACACGTATTTTTTGGTTCATTTTTCAACATAACCTAAAGTATGAATATTATTGTATTTTGGGCTTACAATAGGTACGTGAGTTATAAAAAAATATATATATATATATATTTCCTATTTGTTTCAAATATATGTTTCAGATTAAATGTCATGTACATTAAAACAAAATGTTAGTGATAGAAAGGGATTGATGGGTGTGGATATGCTTACATGATAATCCACAATTGTCTTCCCCTTTGTTTATGCGCTTCAAAAGCACCCTCATGTGATCTCCCCACACACATGCATCTATGATTACTTCCATGATTATATGTAGTTATATCAGAACCATAATTTTAAAATTTTAAAATATGAGGACTGCAGATATAATTTTATGCCCATGTTTTTAAAAGTAATATAAAGAATATATAGTAAACAATAAAGTTCGAGTTGTTTTAGAATGTATTAGAACATGTGTACACATAGACACAATTTGTTTACCATACCAACTATAAAATAAACAATTGTTTAGATAAATCTGAATTTTTTTTTAAGAAAAAGGCAACCTCAAATTTCATGTTGCTTTCCCAAACACATCCAATGAATATAAAAAAATTGAAGTAATCATAAGTTGGATAAAATTACTTTACATTGATTCATTATTTCCCAATTTTCAGTCCATAAAGAAGATTACATATTAATAATACAAGTTGCTCATACTATCTGAAACAAAAATAAAATGAACGATGATTGTGAACTTGTTTTATAAGGGCCAAAATTTTAAGTGAAGTTTGATGTGATAGAAAGTGAACAATAATTGAAGGCACTAATGCAGATGCTTCTGCTCTCTCTCTCTCTCTCTCAGCACTTCCCAAAAGCCTCTTCCTTTCTTTTCTCATCACCCGCGGCGAGGGGACACTGCAACTTGCCATCATTTTCTTTTTTCATTTCTTGAGTTTTAAGCATTCGATTGTTTTAAACCTTTTAGGAACTGTTCAGCAATTTGAGCCTCTATTAATTATATTATTAAATTGATTTCCTTTATTTTTAAATTACGATTTACTATTCATTTCATGTTTTAGAATTTTCCCTGCTTCTGAGCGACGTTCAACTCTTGAAGAAAAATATAAAATTAATGAAACAATGAATCTCCCATATAAAAACTGACAGGAGTGCTTTACAATATGGCAAAGATCCCAGGAACCAAGATGCACAGAGAAGCAGCTTCATTGAAAGCGAATATTATTTCAAATCTGATCTCAATACAATAACCTTGCAGTATAAGAAGAGAAGTTCTAGTATTCCTATCACTATAAAACAACATTGGCTGCCATATCATTTTGTATCTTTTGAGATGGACATGTCTCCCGGGGTCCATTCTGATGATAACAGTACATCTCCATGAAAACTATATACACTGATAACTCACCCTGATAACTCTTCTCAGAAAGGTAACGACTCAAATCAAGAAAAACATCCAAGCACAAAAGCCAGGAAGCAAATACGAACTGTGAACAAATTTTCACTTGCCTCCACTGCCCTAGCAATCTACCCCACATTGTTTGAGAATTGGACCGGTTTGCTTGGGTAAGAAGGGATCGATCCGGACCCAAATCAATGAGAAGATTGATGCTAGAAGAATTGACCAGAGGACAACAATGGTAGGAGTCCTGTTTTGCCTTCCCATCAGACCTTTGAGGAAAGGATAGAGGTGAACAATAACCCAGAAGGAAAAAAATAGCTTCCCAAATAAGGGTCCCCAAGAGCCAGAGCCATTGTTGATGGCATCAGAGATTCCAGCCACAACTCCCACCATATTCAGAATTATTAGAGTGGTGGGTGGGATGAGAAGAGTGGTCCACTTGAAGAGATAGAGCTCCCAAACTCAGCATCCTCTGCTGCCTTTGCTGTGACTGTGAAATTGGTATCCACTCCAGCAAGAACTTTGAGAAGACCTTGAAAAACAGCAAAAAGATGGGCAGAAACACCTCCGATGACCCAGAATTGCTCATTACGCCACCAGTCTGTAATGCTCACCCCACTCCACCGAAGCTCTAGGACACCAGTTAAAATGATGGAGATAAATAGAGCCATAAACCAAACGCTAGCAAAGTTTGTCAACTGCACAAGAAAAAAATTCAGTCAGAATATATGTATGATGTATCTAATAGCAATATTACCTGTAATCTGCAGTAAATAATTTACTCTACCAAGCCCATGAAATGTTGGTTGGCTTCTAAATAAATTTACTAAAAAATATAAGCATATTCTAAACCACTGACTTATCTTATTGGCCACAGATATTTATGGACCAGTCCCAACCTGAGAATAAGTGGTCAATCTGTGCATTGTATATTATAATCATAGTGGCAATCAAGTTCATTAAGTATTCTTATAAGTCAAATTTAATAATTCTGTACTTACAGTAGGTATGATGAACTTTCCGGTCAGAAGACACACAGCTGGAATTACACAATATGCAAGTAGTGGGATGGAGGTGAATGGGTAAACAATGGTGTTAGTGTAAGCCAGCCTTTCTAACCATTTCAATTTTCCCCCGTAGCCATACCACAATGGGCAATGACGACTAAGGCATATCTCAACAGAACCAAGAGCCCATCTCAGAACTTGGTGCAACCGATCTGATAGATTTATTGGAGCAGATCCTTTGAAAGCTGCTCTCTTTGGCATGCAGTACACTGATTTCCATCCTCTGCAATGCATCTTAAACCCTGTCAAGATATCTTCTGTAACCGAGCCATAAATCCATCCAATCTGCAGTGTAGACAAAATTGTCAAGAAAATATGGTTTATTACTATTCATGGAACTCAAATTATCTATAATCTGGTATATAAATTCCTGATAAACATTAAATGCATTTGGCATGCATAAATGTTTTTTCATCAAAACCCATTTTGTTTTTCATCTCATCACAAAAGGAGCGAGCTCAGTGTGATTCAGGGGATTACCTCTTTGCCCCATTCATTTTCTCTTCATAGCCACAGCTTATGACATGAATGGCCTCCTTAATCAATGATTGGTTATTGATGCCTTCTGGAAGCCCACCATCTTCCATCAAAGTAGAAGCAATGAAAACGGGTGACTGCCCAAACCTTTTCTCAAAATTTTTCTGGGACATCAGTGATGATTTCTCTAGCTCATCGTAACCTTCCAACCCTTCTTCAATCTCTTCTAGATCGAAAACAGGCCCAGATCCTTTTCTAACATAATTCTTCCCCATCATTTTCTTCTTCTTACTGTATAATTTGCTAAAGATTCCTCTTCCTGATGATTTTTTTGACTTGGACTTTCTTGATCCACCGCAGCAACAGCAACACCATGAAGGCCAGCAGTCACAAGTCATCTTTGGTCTCTTCTCAGATACTGGAGGATCATAGCCATATAAAGCCTGCCTGTTGAAAACAGTCCCAGTACCAACATATACAGGACCTTGAATTCCATCAAGGCCTTTCATATTGATCTATAACCACAGCAGCATTGAAGATCAATGTGAAAAGTCAGTGGATGAAATGCGTTTTATACATATTTGACAAGTTGAAGTTTGGAGGAGTGTCTTACATCGAAGAAAACAGTATTGCGATTGGCATATCTATCATGGCGATCAATACCATCAAATCTTTGTGGAAATTGAACATAGCATATCTTCTTCCTTAACTGAGGATCCATTAAAAAGCACATGGCTTCTCTAACAGCCTTGCTATTGTTGATGTAGTGGTCACAATCCAGATTCAACATGAAAGGTGCATTGGTAAGCACAGCAGAAACTCGAACCTTTTGAGGACACACAACACCGAAAGAGTTAGAACAGCTTTCCTAATATTATGGATATTAAAAATTAATCAATATAATGTTGTCTTATTACTCACCAGAGCATTCATGGCACCAGCTTTCTTGTGGTGTTGATAGCCGGGACGTTTTTCACGAGACATATACACAAGTCGTGGCAGTTCCTTGCCTTCCACATCCAGTGCACCACCACTTCCCAAATAGACCTGCAAAGGAAAGTCACTTGAGACATATCAGCAAAGACCCAACTATCCCAATCATTAAATCTTTTCCCCAGTTCTTTACTATTTTTTTTTAAGCCAAAAGATTCCCCAATTCATAAGACTATCCTCTTTTTGAGAAAAAATGCCCTTATGTTCATCATATTTCCTTCCCCCCTCCTTAGAGGACCTGATATTCATAAAAAGGCAAGGTATTTCCTCTCTTTATGGTTCCTTAATCACCAATTCATGGAATGCATGCCACACGGAAACAACTGAAGATGTAATCACCAAACCTGAATCATTCCTGGATGATCACGAGTATTGTTTCCAGGCCATGGGGTACCATCCTGCATCACCCATCCCTCTTCTGGTTTCTTCTGAGCCTTTGCCACCAAAGCATTAATTTTCACTTTGAATTCTTCATATTCTCTCTGAAATTGAGCATAAACATAAATTGCTTTTAAGTTCTTAGTATATACCACAGTAGAACATAAAGAAGCTTTCTAGTTCCAATTATAGACATGCCTTCATAGCCCTACGCTCCTTCACAAAGCTGGCTTCCACCTTATCTTTCAGGTAATCAATTTTCTCAGAGAAATAGAACTCTGGAGCCCTTGGCTCTATGTTATACTTTTTGCAAAAAGGAACCCATCTCCTCGCAAATTCAGCAGTTTCTGAGAGTGTATCAAAAAGAAGCATAGATGCACCATCATCTGATACATAGCAGCTGACCTTCTCAACAGGGTAATCCACAGACAAGATTGATAGAACTGTGTTTGCTGTTATGATGGGAGGTTCCTTCAAAGGGTCAACAGTACTCACAAATACATCAACTGGGGCTAAACGGTTTGGTTCCCCTGCACGCTCATACCTTATGGACAACCGGTCCAGGTAAGTTTCACGAGTGATAGGGAACCATTTGGGGAATTGATCAAGTATCCAAGATAAGGCAAACCAGATTTCACAAATTACAGAGATAAGCCATAAGGGAAATGCATCATATGCTGGAGTCAAGATACGGAATCGGAAGAAGAACATAAGTATAATGAGCCGCATGACAATGACTATACGATATGGGTTGATTAGGTTTGAAGGTATTGGGACCTTACGCCACAATGGCTGCCTAGCTTCAGCCAAACTGCCAAGTGCCATAAATAAAGAAAAAATTAGTGTCAGGAAATAAACAACTTTTCTCACCAACAACTATAAGGAAAAATAGTCAAATGCCAACAGTTGAACTTGTGAATTGGTGTTAATTCCAAAATGGTCATTTATAATAAGAATTGAAAAGGAGGACTGATGCCTCATTTCTTTGATTGATGTGGAATACAAGGAGAAAAAGAAGGCTGGTACATCAGATGATGGGTTCTTTAAATCATGGAAGGAGCAATTGGGAGAGGACCACTTACAAGTAGTCGTCTTCTTCACCTTGGTCATCTTTCCCTTCATCTTTGCTCACTAGACCTCTCTTCTCTTGCCTGACTTTCCATTTCTCTACCCTTTCTTTCCATTCTGCATTGCTGTAGAACTCTTTATCACCCTCAAAATCCTTACCAGCAACTACAGAACAGGAGACAAACTCAGAAATGCATATATTATATATAGGTAAAAGAGAATACCCCACAAAGGATCATGTAATGTAATTAGGAATGTAGCATCACAATTCATGGATTCTTTCCAAAATATATATAAATAAAAAAGAGAAGAATTCATACCACTTCCAGCGGTAGAGAAAGCTTGTCCATTAGGTTGCCACTGATGATGATTAGAGTCTCCAGTATCCTGTAAAAATCACAATATCTTCAGAGTCCCCTTTATTGTTTATATTCAATTAACTGGTACAGCCAAAATAACATAGCTCTTAAAACATCATCTGTAAAAATTTAGTGCCGATTTATATAGGGGAAATTTAATTTCCCAAGTACCTGAAAAGTTATTTATAAGATATTTGGAAATAACTAGTACGAAGTTTATAAAATTTGCATATCGCTTGTGTTCCAAATAATTTAGGGATTATAATTTATATTTCACATATACACAGATATATATATATATATATATATTTCCAGTTCCTCGGAAATTAGGATATAAATGCACCAAACACCACCTAAAGGAGGACAAGAAGGCCAGTCTCAGCAATTATAACTAGGCTGGCCAGACTCCTTTTTTTTTTTCTTTTTTTTTTTGGTAATCTTTTTGGTCATATCACCTATATGAAACTAGTTACATTATATGGCAGGTAGAAACTAATTGGTGTTGTCTTAAAGGAATCCTACCAATGTGTCAAGAAATATTTCATTATTTTTTTTTGCATTGGAAAGTTGCGACACATCTACTATAGTTGGACTTGGAGAGATTAGAATCATAAAAGTCTCAGCATGTTTGCATGTTTTGAAAATCGCATGATCTTTGATATTTCAGGAAATTGAGACTGTTATTCAGAAGGTCTCTTCTGCTATGACTACTACCATGCAACAGGCTTCTAACTGCTTAAGTAATGAAACAAAACCTTACTAGCTAAAAAAAAGATAGCACAACACAACATATCGTCTATATATATTCTATCTTATGCAGAGATTACCATATGATTAACATCATGCTGCTTGTCTGTTTCATCATGTCGACTCTTAATCTGAAACTCATCATCAAAATCATCAGCATCAAAATTGTCCTCTTCGTCCCCAATCACTCTAGGAGAACCTGCCAGGAGGCAACTTGCGTAAGTTATGTCCTAATGTTCGCTAACAAAATTAACTTATAACAACCAATAATGAAAGAAATCACAGGGTTATGCTAACCTTTGTGACGCTTGTAGCGAGTATTACATTGAGGGCAGCACTGGCTCCCTTCACTTCTTTCGTACTCATAACAGGGACGACAAACGGGAAATCCACACACATGGCAAGCCACAAACAGCTCTCCATCTTCCTTGTATCCAATCTCATCCCCACAAACACGACAAACTTTTGATGAAGGTTGACGGATGGGAGGCCGATGCTGGCAAAAAAGGAAAACAAGAATATGGTAACCACATATAAGAAACCAGCATGAAACAAACCCTTTCTGTTGTGCAAGTTTTTCACATAATCAAAACATGCAATTAGAACCATCAATAGTACCTCATCAGAGTCATTGGAAAAATGGGAATGAGAACCAGTGATTAAGCCAGCCATGGTGTTTGAGGCCATGGCAAGCAAGAAGGGACGCAGCAGAATACAGAGAGCAGGTGGTAAGAGTATAAGAGAAGTGGGTTTTATAAGACATTGTAGGTTGAGATGGGAATATCAATGTCCAGCTTGTGAGCGAATGTAAGATCATCCACCAAACCGTGAGTTGGGAAGTCGTGGGTTTGAGTCTAAGAGACGTTAGGTCAGGGAGCGATAGGTGGGAGGAATTTGTAGTTTGATATTTGCTTTCTACGCTTGCTTAGACTCAAAGAAGGCTTCTTCCTAGATCGTAATACACAAACAAGAAACACAACTATACAAGTAGAACATACAAGCAGGCTATGATGTCGTGTCCCCGCGATTAAGAACCTACAAATGCCAAACGGAAAATGTAATTTCTAAAGGGGAAGGGGAATGCTCACCGATGATTGATCCGCAGCCGACAGGAAGAAGAGGAGCTCGCCATTTTCGATCGTTACCTGAGAGTGACATGCATGAATGGATAGCTTTTTCCCAGAGGAACGAACGAACAAGTAGTATGTTAGTAGTGATGATTGAGTAAGACGAGAGAAATTGATAACAAGATCCAAGACGGAGGAACTTCAACTATTCCCCGGGAAATTCTCGCCAATTGAGAGTAGGCCAAAATATTCCCGGGAAGAAAATTACATCTTAGGCGAGAAAATTTAATTAAACTCATTTGCAAATAAATTGATTAAATAGACTGAAATGTATGGTATATGAATGTGATGATAATTTACAAAATCATTAATAATAGCATATATAATATACTCTGTATAATTAACTAATTTGAGTAGATTAAATATGTCGGTTAAATTAAATTAATTAATATGATATGTTTTTTTCTCTCCTATTTGAGTATTATTGAGAAAATATCAATATGTTTAATTTGAAAAAAATTGACAAACATATAAAATAGATCATATATATATGATTAATATTAACTCTTTAATTAGATTCTACATTAACTATTAACTATCAGTATATTAATATAAACTGGATAACAAACCATACCATCTCTACATTATTACGAATAGTATAGCCTAATTATGTACGGCAGCCAACTGACTAGCACTTAACTGGTATGTCTACTATTTGTTGGCAAAAAAAAAGTATCTATATATTATTAATAGAGAAAAGAAAAAGTTTATTTCAACGGTAAATAATTCAAATTTGGAGCACATGTTTATCTATAAAGTGAATAAAGAATTTAATCTGCTACAAGATGAAATGAAAAAAAAAAAATCAATAAAGAGAATGAGAGAGGGAGGGTGATATGGCAAAGAAAGTGAAAGGTTGATTTCAAGTCTTAATCACATATTTTATTTTAGTTCGGCAAAAAAAAAATTTGTTTATTTTGGCGAACCACAAGTTATAACTAGAAATTAATATGGCCATTCTAGAAATTCAGGTGGCCCAATGGGCCGAATATAATCAGGCTCCCTGGTGGCCCCAAAGAAGTTAAACAGTACTTACTGGACTCCTTGTGATACACGTATATATATATAGATCCCAAGCACTCTTCATAATGCCTTCTTTGCTGCATCTTTGAGAGATTGGATGGCCTTGAATCTCAAAAAATAATTAGGAAGTCAATGGTCTTCAGGATGGAGTCTAGTCTGGGGAGTTGCTTGCTGGAAACTTTGGTTTTGGAGGAACAATACAGTCTTCTCAGAAGATTTTGTGAAACCAGCAAACCCTGCTCTTGTTATTATGCATACCTGGAAATTATTTGTGCACATAAATGACAGATCCACTGTGGGTAATCAACCAACATCTAGTATCTCGGTTACATGGCAGACGCCCCCAGTAGATTGGATAAAGGTCAATGTAGATGGAGCAATGTCAGCTTCTTCTAACAGAGCAAGTTGTGGCGGGGTGATAAGGGATAAGTGTGGGAACTGGATTGCAGGATTTTCTCAGGCTCTTGGTTCGTGCAGTGCTCTTGAGGCGGAGGAATGGGCTGTGTATGAAGGTCTTAAATTGGCTTGGGATATGGGGTTTAAAAAAATAATTCTTGAATCTGACTCAAGAAATGTGGTTGACATGATTACGGGAAATAGGAACAAGTATATCTACAGCCTTGTCATTACTCAGATATTGAATTTGCTGAAGCTCCAGTGGGAGGTCAAAATCTTGAATATTTCTCGACGGCAAAACTGAGTTGCAGACTCGCTTGCAAAGGAGGGGTTATCCAAGACCATCCTCTTGGCTACTTGTCCTTTTCACCTGAGACGCGTTGTGTCTGAAGAGTGCTTGGGATCTATATCCCCTCCTATTTAGTTTTGTATCTTGTTTTGGGCCTTTGCCTCCTTTGTAACCCAAAAAAAAAAATTATTGCGTGATTTTTATATTTAATACACGTAAAATTTCAGTATAATTATTAATTTAAAGTTTTAATTTAATGCACAATATATATTAAAAAGTATTATTATATAAAAATAATTACAAAATCTCAAAATGTGTATAAAAAATATTGATACTAAGATCAAATTTTTAGTGAGAATTGTTTTGAAATTGCATGCGAAATATTACTAATAGTTTTTCTTATATTAATATTCAATTATAAAGAATGGAAAAAAATTAATACTTGAATTTAATAGAAAGGACTTGATTCTCTTTGAATAAGGTTGAAGTTCAAATTTTATAAATAAAAAAATTTCATCGGGAGATTTACCCAACAATAATTAATTAAAAATAGTAGAATTTTGGCCCAAAAAAAAGAATAGAGAATGGGGAAAAATTGGAAATGATGGGAATTCAAAGCAAAAAATGATAATTCATGATGTGGCTTGAAAATAAGAAGGGAATATTAGAGTCTGGAGTAGCAGACTATATTAAATATCAAATTCCAACAAGTAAAATATTATGAGGACTCTTATCCTTGTGTAACACTAGACACTATTTTGTACTCCCTTTAGTTCATAATATAAGATGTTTATTAGAAGAAAATTGTGATTCAAAAACTAAAATATTATCAAGATAATTAATGTAATGTTTTCAAGATGAGATATAATAGAAGGGTAACATTGAAGACAACTTTATTATTTTTTAGGTATAAAAAAAAAACTCTATCATTTTAGGACAAATTTAATGATTAGACTTCTATTTCTTAGTATGTGATAAAAATTAACCAACTTCTTATATTATGGACCAAGAGGAATACCTTGTTTGTGTGGTGTTTATTGTTGGTTTTATGTGATTGAATGACCATTTGATCATGGGATTGAGTTTAGGCACCGAATTTGAATTGTCCAATTTTTTTGTTGAAAAAAATTATTTTGATAGATACGAAATTTAAAAAAAATATAATTTATTAACAGTCTATCTTTAAAAAACGATCTTATTATTTAAAAATCATCAACTAAAAATTTTAAATCTCAACAGTTGAAATTATTTTTGGACTGTGAACATTTGACACTGATGAGCATGGGCACAAAATCCTTTTTTAGCAATAAAGGTCATAAATCGGAACCCATACCAGTTAGGCGTGCGATGGATATATTTATTTGTGTCCTATAAGTAGGGCTGGTAAAAAAAAGAAGTGTAATATTACTGCTTTTAATCCTAAATATAAAAGTTAGTTAACTAATTAGAAAAGATTTAAAAAATAAATTAAATTAGTTATTTTATACTCTCTCCGTTTCTTATTATAAGAGACAAATAACCAAATTACGTTGATAAAAAAAACAGTTAAAATTAGTTGAGGACAATTAATGTGTAAAAAGTATAATATTTTTTCCAACAATGCCCCCATTAATAAAGAGAGTATGAGAGAGAACAATTAAATTATTAAAAGAAAGAGAAGTGGGAGGAAGAGAGAGTATGAGTTGGAGACAAAATAAATAGGGGTAAAATAGGAAATCAATACAAAAAAATAGAGACAACTTTTAAGTGTCTATTATATATGGGAACATGCCATAAGCATCAAATGTCTCTTATAATAAGAAACGGAGGGAGTAATAAATAGGTGTTATTTTTTTTAAATATCCTTGCTAATCAAATGTATTAACTGAAACTATCATTATTAGAAAGACTATCTTGATAAAGAAATAGATAACTATGAGAAACAAAGTGAATTGGAGTCTCATATTTATGACCAAAATAAAAGTCAAACGAAATTTTATATTAGTAATTAGATATAGTAATAAATAAATATCAACGCTAATCATTACTCGTAGTCTTAGAGTTGAAGGAATGGTCACCGGCACCGCCAATATCTTATTGTATAAATTGCTGACATAATGTCTTGGATTTTAATCCATAAATCACGCACCATATCTGCGGTGTCTACAACAATCTTAATTCGACTTTTACAATAGATTATTCCAGTACAACTTTCTTAAACTTGTTTGCTGAAATATTTCTACCAACCCATTAAACATGCACGCATAATTAAAATACAACATTCATCTACCAAAATCTGCAGTGTGAGAATTTAGTAACAAGAAAAGTTAATTCCTGGAATGTCCTGTTCACACACACAATTATATGCGTACACGTGTTAATGATGTAGAAATTAAATCCCATGAGGTGGGGCTCTTAGTAATTGTAACCATTTTTAATTAAAAAATTTATAAAATGTAGTCAAGATTATATACTCCTCCGGTCCTTATTATAAGACCCAATTTGACTTTTTATTTGGTCCTAATTATAAGACCCAATCCATTTTGTCTCTTATATTTATGCATTTTTTTCCAAGATAATCCTTCTAATAATGATAGTTTTAACCAATATACTTAATTAGTAAGGATATTTTAGGAATGACAACACTTATTTATTATAAATAACCAACTTAACTTACTTCCTTAATCTCCTCAAATAAGTCAATTGGGTCTTATAATTAGGACCGGAGGAGTAGTAATGAAAATAGAATTCCACTGCGAATTTGGCTCCTAAAAATTCAACGTAAGGTTGCAACAAGTGTTTGATTATTAATTAAGGTGTTGAAATTGGTTGTGTTATTCAAGGAGAGTGGGTTCAGTATTTCACCAACTCTCTTTTCAATTAATATGATAATCACTAATTAATTAATTGAGA